TGACCTATTTTTGACCCGTGTTTTGCTCATATCTCTGTCAAATGTCAAGGTATCGAGCTGAAAATTTTACCACAGCCTTCGCACTTCAGCCCCAACATATGCTCCAAATTTCAGCCCATTTGTATTGGCCAGGGCTGAGATCGATTGTTGAGGGGAGGGGGGCCTTAAAACATCATAATTTGATGAAGATAAAGTGACTGATCTGGTTACTTTCCTTTTAGCCTCCATCGATCAGTACATTGTCCAATGGATACTACTCCGAAAACCACAAAATCCAATAAATTGTTTAACTAATTTCTATACGAAACAAAAAACGTCCGAAGAAAAGTACGCGCCCTACTCGAACGAATGTATCAATCAATCAATCGACTCAATAGAGTAGTCAATTTGTGAACAGAATTTCACACAATCACAAACTGATAATTGTTTACTCAATCAGTTTTCGGTATAACCCAAAATCTGGTTTGAGTAAGCACGTACTACAGACAGGTCATTCTATTAATTTTTTTGACAAAATAAAAAATTTTAGTTCATGGTAATAGCCGTTATTGCCTTTTAGTAGTGAGTCTTCGGCTATATCAGATGATTCTCCATAATGTAACGGCACTGACCTTCTATACGTCGTGCAGGGACTTTAATTAAAAACAATAAGGTACGAAGCAAGGAAAACATGATTTCGATCTTCGTTTCGCTTTAGATCGCTCTTTTTTTTTATCCGTTTCTGTTTGATTTTGACCAGTCTCTGCGTATGTTTTGAATCACCATTCATAGCTATATAGTTTGTAACTCTGACAATAACATCTTTACTGATATATCATACCTCCTGAATCAATAGACGCGAAACGTCAAATAAATAAATAAAATAAATTTTTGAATCATAAATTATCAAGAGTTAATATCATTAAACATTACTATGTTTGAAATAATAACCATTACTATCTTCATAAAAACCTTTGAGAATACCACGGAAGTTTTTTTATATATTCAGTCTTTTTCTAAAACATAATTTGTACTTCTACGATTACCTCCAATTGTTCTCGGCTATTAAGCGCGATAAACTAAAGGTGAAGATTATGATTCCAAAAACCCCGAAAACGTAGACTTTTATCATATGTTAATTTTTTCTTGTTCCGTTTCTTATTTTAAAAATCTTAGTTGCACATGAATCGAGCGAGCAGAAAACACTGAACAAGTTAGGCTAGTTTCAAGAGGCTCAAGTTATACATTACTGGCCAAAAAAATTCACCTTATTCAAATTTTTCAGATTAAAAGACTTGATTTTTTTTCAGTAAAACAGCCACTACGGAGCCAAGCCATGTTATAATAGAACAGTTTTAACGCAGTTTACATAGCGATCAGTTGTCTACAAAATGAGCTGCTTCACATTGAAACGGGACCCCGGAATGAGTCCAAAAATGAGCTACAATATTAATACTACCTAGCATCATTCATCAACTTTTTCAAAACTTTAGTTTGGTTCAAACTATTTCATTCTCAACGGAAATTGATATTGGTGATGCTGTACAACGTGTTTCTGCTCTATCTGAAGAAAACTGTCACAGCGCAATTGTGATAGCTTTTCTTTTTTGATTTAATTAGTGTTTAATGTGTACTAACACTATAGATTAAATATTCTAGTTTTAAAATAAAAAAAAGTCATTTAACACTCTCTGTTAAATCACATCCTCCACATGTTTTTAGTTTTCAGGCTTAATTTTAATATACATGATACATTAATTCAACGTCATAAAGAGAAATCCCTCGAGCACATCAGCATCGATACGGGAACAATGGAATTTAAAATTGAAACTGATCAGCCGTGGCAAATGGATTGATTAACCGCGAACCGACGGAAATCGAAGTCGTGGGAAAATTACCCCTCATTCTTGATTGAAAGAACAACTGAAGTCCTGTATTCACGTCTCCTATAGGACGTGGTCTGGAGACAGTAGATACAGGCATAAAAGGACTAGCCGTGAGTGGCGTCCCGAAGGGGCGCCGATGAACGACTAGCCGCTGACTCACGAGTGCGCTGTAATGTTTTCAATTATTCGGATTGTGTGACTTATCGAGACAAATCTCATCCTGAAAAGCGATTTCAGAACGTTCAGTCGAGGGTCAAGCGAGTCGTGGCGACGCGCATTACTTGTTTTAGCTAACTGATTATTTATTCAGTATTAATTTATTATTAACTAATCATATTTTCTATGAGACGTGTGCAAAGGTAACAAGGGATGGGGAATCCGAATTCGAGGTCGATTTTCATTCATCACATGCTTATTAATTTTAACTGATAATGCATTATTGAAACTTGCTGAGATTTTGATCAAAGCAAATTGAAAGGGAGAATCCGAATCCAAGATCAGTCTTCCGTTTTTGTACTATGCATCATATAGTACCGTCTCAGGGGTTTCGTGGTACTCGTAGAATTATTTTATACATACCCTCCTCAACATTCTGCCACAAATTTAAACAGTCGGATTATTTTTCGTTGAACTATCTCATCAACAGCCAAGTACTTTCATCTTTTTCTAGCAACAATGATCAACCAATGAAATGAATACTGGTTTCTGTCGTATCGTTATACTTTCAAGTGAGATTGTTTAAAATAGAAATGAAAAAGAACGAAGAGCTGCTAATCGGATTCACCTGTGTCGTGGATCTTTCGATTAGTAGCGACAAGCGTTACTTGTGAGTGATTCACTTAGGGTCTCAGAACAGGATTGGTACGAGAAAGAGCTGAGCGAGTCCACAGGCGAGTGTTACTTGTTTTCCTGTATCTCGGTGAAATATCTGTCGGTTCAGCAAAAGCTCACTCATCTGATTGCCTTGTATTACAGCAGCCGAGTTATCACCGAACAGCTATGTCCGTGAAATCTAATATGAATAGATCATGACAATGACGACGAAAGCTAGTGAAATCTAGGTTGTTTGAGTTAATTGCCCATCCTCCCTCGATCGTGACCTTTATCTGGCACACCCCTTCAGATCTTGTGATCATTTCTCTTTTATGCTTGCGAAAGCGGTTAGAAATCAAAATTTGTATACCATAGAAGCAGCAAAATTTATTCCAAATATTTTAGCGAAAAGCTGTTGTCGTGTGGGACTCAAGGCTCTCAGTAGCTAACTGGTTGTATACATCAACTTTATAGATTGATTGATGAAGTAGAATTCTCGAATACTAACGATGCAAAAACGCATCTCATGACAGGGTCCATTCGAAAAATGCTGCTAGACCGATGTATTACAAAAATATTGTAACGGAAAATCTAATTGGCTTTGCTTCACCCTTGATTGAAATGATGTTTATTTCAAGATGAAGAAGGTTTCAACAACAATGAGATGCACCGCACTCTAGTGTCTTGCTCCAATACCACGTATCGTCACACTCTGTGCCGATCATCAAGCTTTTGCCTCGACTCCAACTGCCTCTTCACCTGCACGGCAACTGCAGTTCAACTCCACTGCCTATCTTCTCTCTCTCTGTATGTGTGTGTTTCTTCTCCCCTCTATTCATAGGGGAGTGAGCTTGCTCATGGATGTCACGGTGGATGGACATGGTTATGGAATGGTATCATTTTAGATGATCTAGATTGTACCATAGCATCATTGTGGATGAATGCGGCGTTGCACGATGGTATGGGAGTGTCTTGTGTTTGTTGGCACAAAAACGACACAATCAGTCATCGAATCAAGAAATCTGAGTGGCTTTTAGGCGAAAGAAAGAAACGAGACATTCACAGATTCGCAAACTGCTCGAAAATAACGTTTGCTCGCACTATACTTCCGTCGGGACTATTTTTGTCCAAATGAACACCGGAACTAAACCAATTGCTAGCGTTAGCGTCTTCGATTTTTTTTATGCGTTAAAACGCAGAGAAAATCCAAAATTTGCACGTATCGACGCTTCGGAAATAATTAAGTTTCCGTTACGGCTATTTTCGGCGAAATCAGCGCTGAAACTAAACGAATTGTTAGCGTTAACGTCCACAATATTTTTTTATTCGTTCAGACGCTGAGAAAATCGAACGTTTTGAGATGTAAACGTCTCAAAGATAGCTGTGAGGCTTTCGATTGCATGCAAACATTCATAAAAAACGAACAAAATGAACCAAAGATAATCTGAGACTTAAGCGCCAGAGATTTTCACTATACACTCATTTAAACAAAGTATAGTTTTCTTCGGATAAATTTCATCTTTCATGTGTAACTTCGTGAGGATTGCGCTCGTGAAGAAAGCGATTTCGCGTCCAACATATATCTTCCGCATTTTCTTTTTCAAATCAGTCACAAAAACGCACAATGTCACAAGTTTCTCCACGTGAACACGATTAGTTCAGAAATTTGGATAAAAACATCACTCTTATGAGTGATTGACGAGAAAAAACATGTTGAATCCACAGATTTCAGCTATATACACACTGAAAAGATAGCAGTTCTCAAAGTTTGTACAGCCAACTGATCTCGCACGCGTTTAAGCGCTCATAATCTGACTATTCTCAGCGTGAACACGCGTTTTCGACTATCTCACTCTGCGTGGGTAGCGGCAAAAGTAATTTTTTAACAACAATTTTTCAGCGAAAAGCCATCTTAGATGTGAAATGATTTTCCAACGCATAACAAAGAGCCAACTTTATGCGTCTGTTCAGAGAAAAACTTTGAAGAAAGTGATTAAAACAACATGTGTACAGCGTAGTTTTTTACGAATTCTGACAGAAAAATACATAAATGTTTAATCTTCTCGTCAGAAGAAATTGTAACAAAACATGAGTATGGGTGAAGGGGAAAAAGACAGATACTTGTATTATCTTTCACTGATTGGGATTTGATTTCTTCAGCAATGCCTGAATTTTTTTATCCATCGTGTCTGACATTTTGTTATAAAATAAATTGATATCAACGATTGTTCGATTAATATTTAATGCGTCGACAATGGCATATCCTCCTTTGTCAGATATTTTGTTACTACTCAAGATTGATTAGAGTGTGATTCATTTTCAATGCATCCGCAATTATCTCAATACCATAGTCAAGTAGTTGATTGGATGAAAGATTCAATGTAGTAAGAGTTCGATTTATTTTTAATGTATCAGCCAATAATTTTGCTGCATCATCAGACAGTCCATTGTTCTTCAAGTTAAGAGTCTGAAGAGCCTGATTGATTTTCAGTGCCTCAGCGAGTTGCTCCACTGCCTGGTTAGAGAATGCGTTCGAACTGAGATCGAGAGTGCGAAGCCCAGAATTTACTTTTAATCCGTCAGCAATTGCTTCAACACTTCTATCAGATAGTTGATTAAAATGAAGATCAAGAGAAGTAAGAGTGTGATTTGTTTTTAATGCGTCAGCTATTGCTTGGCTTGCTTTGATGGATAGTTTGGTAGTGTTTAGATTCAAGAAAGTAAGTGATTGATTGACTATTATTGCTTGAGCAATGGCTTCACCTGCTCGATCTAAGAGTTTATTTCGTGTTAAATTGAGTGTTGTCAGTGTTCTATTAACTTTTAATGCATTGGCGAGCGTTTCGATGGCTATTTCTGACAATTGATTATTGCACAAGTCCAGAGAAAGAAGAGTTCGATTCGTTTTCAATGCATCAGCGATCGTTTCAAGGGCTGAGTCGGATAATTGATTATTTTGCAATTCTAATGAAGTAAGACTCACATTTACTTGGAGCCAATCTGCAATCGCTTGGATGGCTTGATCAGAAAATCGATGACACTGTAAACTGAGAATAGTCAGAGTACGATTCGTTTCAAGGACTTGAACAAGTGCATCACAAGCTTTCTCCGATAAATCACTCGATGGATCCATTTCTACATAATACGGATCATGTCTTCTTTCTGGCTCAACTTCTGTACCACGAAAGGTCACGGAAGTGAGAGTTTGATTATTATTTAGCACTTGAGTAATTGCATCAGCACTTTCTGTAGATAATCGATTATATCCAAGTTTGAGAGTGGTAATAACACTGTTATCTTTGAGTGCGTCTATAACTGATTCAGCTGCATTCGTCGATAGTCGACTATGTTCCAGATCAAGAGTCGTAAGAACTTTACTGATTATTTTATCGTCTTGAGAACTCGAGATATTCTCGATGTTTTCACTGTGAGAACTGATACGACGGACGAGTCGATCGATTTTTGCATTACCGATGGCTGTACGTTCTTCCTTCGATGGTTCACGATATCCCAGACGTATACTTGTTATAGTGTTATTGACTTTTAGAACACTTGCCATAACTTGATTTGTTTTACAAGATAAATATTCTCCGAACAGATACAATGAGCTAAGTGTTCGATTAACTTTCAGTGCTTTACCAATTGCCAGACCTGTTTTATGAGATAGATGGTTCCCTCGTAGCTCTAATGAGATGAGTGTTCGATTGATTTTTAGCGCATCAGCGATCGCCACGCCTGTTCTATCCGAAAATTGATCACATTTAAGATCAAGGCTAGTAAGAGTTTGATTTACTTGCAATGCATCTGCAATTGCTGTTCCGCCTTCATCATCAAACTTAGTGCTCGACAGACGAAGAGTTTGCAGTGTTCGATTAATTTCCAAAGCATTGGCAATTGCTACACCAACTTTCGTTGACAACGGATTTTCTCGAAGATCTAGTAGAGTGAGAATTCGATTGGTTTTTAATGCGTCAGCAATGGCTTCACCACCTTTTTCAGATAAATTATTACATGCAAGATGTAGCTGAGTCAATGTTTTGTTCATTGTCAATGCTTCGGCTATCACTTTAGCGACTTTGTCAGATAAACCAATATTTTCAAGTTCTAATGACGTGAGAGTCTGATTGACTTTTAATACATTGGCGATTGCTAAAGCACCTGTGTCAGACACTTGATTACCACCAAGATCAAGAGTAGTCAATGTTGCATTTATTGCTAATGCTTCAACAATTGCTGCGACACCTTCGTCTGATAGACTGTTGTATCAAAGATGAAGACTAGTGAGAGTCCGATTGATTATCAATGCATTTGCAATTGCTTTTCCTCCACTCGCAGATAGTTTGTTGAACTTCAGATCGAGTTTGTCGAGAGTACTATTGACTTTTAATGCATCAGCTAGATCTTCAACTGCTTTTTGAGAAAGTTCGTGCGGTTGAAGACAAAGTGTACGAAGAGTTGAGTTAGTCTTCAGAACATCAGCAAGTACTTGACCACCTTTGTCAATTAATGTATTCGAATAAAGATAAAGAGATGAGAGAGTCTGATTGACTTTTAAGGCATCGGCAATCGGCACACTGGCTGCGTCAGTGAGTTGATTGCAACCAAGAGATAGAGTTCGAAGAGTGTAATTAGTCTTTAATGCATCACCGATTGCTTTACTTGCTCTATCAGTCAGTTCGTTGTTTGTCAGATTTAGTGTCGTCAATGTCGTATTTACTTTCAAGGCACTGGCAGTAGCTTCCATTGCTGTTTCCGACAACTGATTACTTCGTAAGTCTAGTATAGTTAAAGTTTGATTTACTGTCAACGCATGAGCAATCGCTTGTGCCGCTGTATCAGATAACTGTTTGGAATGTAGATGAATAGTCGTAAGAGTGTGGTTCATTTTCAGTCCTTGAGCAAGTGTTTCGCTCGTGCCGTCAGACAATTGATTCGAGTGGGCAGATGAGAAAGAATCAAGATCGAACAGTATATCGGTATCACTATGGCTACCACAGCAGGTTAGTGATGTAATTACAAACACTTAAGTGTTTGATTAGTAGATAATGCGTCGGCGACAGTTTCTTCTGCTTCAGTGGAAAGTTTATTCGGGCCAAGATGAAGAGTGACCAAAGTCTGATTATCTTGCAGCATTCTCCCGAGTGCTTCAGCTGCACGAGCTGATAATTCGTTGTGCTGAAGATTGAGTGAGGTAAGTAGTCGATTAATTTCCAATGATGGATTGTCTCCTTCAGAATGATTCCAATAATCATCTATGTCTAACTGATCGTTTACACTATTAGAAAGTTCCGAAATATACAGCTGATCATTTCTCACTACATCGGCAACTCGTTGACCTATTTCATCAGATAATTCGTGATGTCTCTCACCAAAGGAACGAAGTACAAAATCGATCTTTGACGTGTCAGTCTTTGCGATCTGTTCTATCGTACTGTTAATTTGATCAGAATGTAAACCGTAACGCACAGGACCTTTTCTTACGAGTAATGCAGCACCAGATGCTTCTGTGCCTCGTCTATTCCAAATTGTGCGAGATTGTGTATCTATAGCGTTGATAATAATTGCTCGTCCCTGTTCGGAAAACTGATTATTTTCGAGATGTACAGTATCAAGAGTATAGTTAAATTCGAAGACATTAGCGATTGTTCGAGCTATGCAATCAGTGAATTCATTACTGTGAAGATCGAGAAGAGTAAGAGTTCGATTAATCTTTAGAGCATCAGCAATCAATTCGCCATCATTGTCAGACAGTCGATTTCCTCCTAGGTTCAGTTTACACAATGTTTCGTTCGTTTTCAATAGATTAGTCATTGCTGACATTAATGGTCCGGAGAAGTTCGAGTATTCGAGATCTAGCGAAGTTAATGTATTATTTATCTTCAATGCATCAATAATGGCTTCCATTGCTGTAGATGTTAAATCATTACCTGAGAGAGTCAGTACAGTCAGAGTTCGATTAACTTTTAATAGCTTAGCGACTACTTCTCCACTCGCTTCCGACAGATTATTCCATCCAAGATCAAGCGTAGTTAACGTCATATTCTTTTCTAAAGATTTGACGATCATCGCCCCGCCTTCGTCTGATAGCTGATTATGTCCCAGACAAAGTGTAATAAGAGTCTGATTAACGATTAATGCATTGGCGATTGTTTCACTTGCTTCGACTGGTATTTGATTAAATTGAAGATCCAGAGAGATTAATGTTTCATTGACTTCCAGTAAATCACCAATTGCTTCACCTGCTAGTTCACCTAATCTGTTAGACTGAAGATCGAGAGAAGTAAGTGTTCGATTCACTATTAATGCACTGATAATGATGTCGCCAGCATCGTCCGATAAATCAGCATGCTGGATGTTAAGAACAGTAATAGTTTGATTAACCTTAAGCATTACTGCTAAGGTTTCTGCATCGATAACATCAAGTTCTTGGAAACCAGAACAGAATTTTGTTATTGTTGTCGAACTAATCTCATTTAATTTCTGTTGTAAACTATCATTTTTAGCCAAAAGTTTGATATAGATTCGATTGATAGTATCACATTCGACTTTTTCGATGATAAATTTCGTACCAGCGGGAAAAAGTACTTCTTCTTCATCGGGAATTTGAGAATAGTCAGAAATATCAATTGCACTGGAAAACGCCATTTTATTAATAAATAAAGTATTGCCGCTAAAAACATCCGCGATACCTTTATTTTTGCTGGTTGAAGTAAATCCAAACCAACATTTCTCTTTTCCAATATTCTTTTGATACTGTTCAATCATTTGCGCATCAAGATTAGTACCACGATAAACTTCGATATTTGAAACGCGTAATTCAAAAAGGTTATACCATGAATAGTATAGATAGTAGCAAAAGGGACCAAGAGTATCGATTTTAGTTTTATCATTTTGTCTCAGCGTTCTGTTTACTAACGGGTAAATAAAACAATCGTACGTGTACATATTAATACAACATCTATGAATGACTATTTCATCTTGATAGAACATGTCTCTGAGACGTTGTGCGAATCGTTCTGCTGCGATAGTTTTCGATAAAAGTTGACCTTCAATAAGAATTCCATTTGCTGCTTGTTCGAGTCGTTCCCTATGTGAGATATCTTCCGGTTGTCTTTTTTGCCATTCATTGATGAACCAATAACCTCCATTGGTCCATTCATTGAATGGTTCACCTAACCGTAATGGAGGAAAAAAACGTTCTTCTCGTAAAGTCTGTTCTTCTTCGTTGTTTAATGTACGTTGGACGATGATTACTTTCTCGGAATCGAGTTTATTGATTTGAATAAAATGAGTTAGATCAATCCAATAATCATCTAATTCAACGAGATTTGTTCTATTATTTTCTCTATATGCTTCTTCGATAATTTCAGATTCGATGTCGGGATATTTTCTCCATTGTTGTTTTTCCTTGATAAGAGACAAATTGGAATTCGATTTCCAATACCATCGAGGTCTTGATACTTTGCACTTCTTGCTTGTTGTCCACATTGGATTTTCTCTTTATCTTATTCGAATTTGAAAAATATCATAAATAAATAACACGGGTAAAAGTGCGATCGAATTCAACAATAAAATTCAGGTGAACATACAGCTCGTTCAATAGATTTCAATTCCACCGAGACGTTTCACGTTGGCAAAATCATTTAATAACACTAGAAGAAAAAAACTCTCTTACATGTAATATAACAAAAAACAGAAAAACGGGATTGTAAATATGATAAGAATAACCACGAACGAGGCATGGAGGACAACGAAAGAAAAATAGAAGAACGGAAAAAACAGAAAAGAAAAAAAACGCATCGAAACATACGAATGAAAAGAGATATTTATCTGACAAGTAACGCTCGCCTGTGGACTCGCTCAGCTCTTTCTCGTACCAATCCTGTTCTGAGACCCTAAGTGAATCACTCACAAGTAACGCTTGTCGCTACTAATCGAAAGATCCACGACACAGGTGAATCCGATTAGCAGCTCTTCGTTCTTTTTCATTTCTATTTTAAACAATCTCACTTGAAAGTATAACGATACGACAGAAACCAGTATTCATTTCATTGGTTGATCATTGTTGCTAGAAAAAGATGAAAGTACTTGGCTGTTGATGAGATAGTTCAACGAAAAATAACCCGAGCAGCATGCAGTCGGTCGTCGGCGTCCCTTTGATCCACCACTAACGACTGTTTAAATTTGTGGCAGAATGTTGAGGAGGGTATGTATAAAATAATTCTACGAGTACCACGAAACCCCTGAGACGGTACTATATGATGCATAGTACAAAAACGGAAGACTGATCTTGGATTCGGATTCTCCCTTTCAATTTGCTTTGATCAAAATCTCAGCAAGTTTCAATAATGCATTATCAGTTAAAATTAATAAGCATGTGATGAATGAAAATCGACCTCGAATTCGGATTCCCCATCCCTTGTTACCTTTGCACACGTCTCATAGAAAATATGATTAGTTAATAATAAATTAATACTGAATAAATAATCAGTTAACTAAACCTAACCTCAGATTTGAACTCCACGCCCTCGCCTATCATTGGTCGAGTTTTATACAAAAATGTTAATAATTAATAATCAATTAATAATTAGTTAATAATTAACTGAAACTTGTCTCATATTCGAACTTCCCATCCTCGATTAACCTTGGTCGAATTTTATCGGAAATATCAATAATAAATAGCTAGTTAATAATTAATTAATAATCAGTCAATTAAACCTAACCTCAGATTCAAGCTCCCCACCCTCGATTACCCCTGGTCTAGTTTTATTGCGAGAATCATTCCTTCTGTCGTCACAGTCGTGTTTGACCAATCAACAAAGTGCGGACACACAAGCAAGCAATCCGACAATTTTTTTTATTGGCCTCTTCTCTACGAGAAAGAGAACAATGAAAGGTACTCACCGGAAAAGAGCAATACTGTGAATGAGAAGCCAGAAGATAACGCTGCTCCTATCTTTTTGTGTAGGTTATATATGAGTGAGATAGGTGATCCTTTCTTGTTGACTATTTTCTCCTTCTACCCCTACGAAGATGAATAATCCAATGTAAATTCTTAACACCACTTTTTTCACAATGAAATCATAAGAAAAGAAAGACAACAAATATCTCGAGACGATATCTCGAGACGATATCTTTTCATCGCTAGGATAACTATATACGAGTATGTATACTGGGTGAACCAAAATGATTGCGACACTTTTGTCCGGTGAATATCTCAGTCCAGGAACAGAATGTAACCCTGAATTTTTTTTAAACATGCGCCATGAAATTCTCTATCAGACGTATAGAAAGGTATCAATTCACTCTAACGATTGCGGAGAAGGCCAGTAATGAAGGCGTAGATGATACAGCCACTTCCCACCATGTTATCGTAGAAAATTATGTATCCAAGCTTCCTACAAAGTCTTCACCCATTCCGAAACGAAGGCTTCTGTAATACAGTTAGAGACTCTTCGAAGCAGAGTTGGGCGAATTTCCGTTAGATAGAAATTTTCACTTGGTTTAGTATTCGGTTTGGCAGTTAGAATTCTAGGATGCAAAGTAGAATAGAAGAACATTTTAAGGCATATTAGTAGTGCATAATTTGCATTACTTCATTATATTATGAATTAAGTTGTTGGATAGAAACGATTAGAATAGTAGAATAGTGTTGTCCACGGACTACAGCCTAAACCACCAGAAGTACAATTAGTTGTTATATATCAAATAAAAGCTTATTTTAAACGGACCTCAATGTCATAGTGTTTTGTGATATAGAAAGTAAAGACTCTTTTTAGAAGATATTATTTTGAAACGGTCTGTGGAAAGTTCGTTCGGAGTTTAAAATTGCAATGTATTTGTTGTTTCAGATAGATAAATAGTGTTCACTGTCGTCTAAAACCTGGAATGTTTTCATTTCTAATGCAAATTTTGAAACACTGAACGGATTTTCAACGGAGCCTTTCAAAATCCTATCTTTTGAAAAGAGTTTTTGCTTCTTTTTATCACAAAAAGGCTATGCCCTTAAGGTCCGATTAAAATAACCTTTAATTTGACATATAAGAAATATGTAGCATTTCCGGGTGAAAAATCTGGAAATATGGTCTTGTAATTCATATTACAAGACACCACAAGACCTTACAAGAGCATATGAAATTTGACAAGATTTCATAAGAATGTTGGTCAAAGCCCTAGTCAATGTACTTGAGAACACGTACTTAGAAAACTACTTGGATAAGTAATGTGCAGAGTACCTGCATTTTTTTGCAAGTAAGGAAGGTAATTAGCAAGTAAGTTAACAAGTATAAGTACTAGATAAGTACTTCATTAAGTATTTGGCAGGTAGCCTGGTAACTACGCGCGAAATATACGCAAGTATCGGCAGTACTTCCAAGTACTTGGCACGCATTAACTCTAAAACTGCTTGACAAGTGCTGTACCAATTATACTTTATAAAAATGGAGTAGAGGTATTCGTAGCAAAATTGGATAAAAAATCATCAGATCTTATCTAAGACGACTTTTAGATGGGTCTGATGTTTCACGCTATACCAACTGGAAAGCATACTTTGCATCCCTGTAGTATGGCGAGCTGCTCTATGTCTGATACTTAGTGGATGCAGAGAACATGTGCACGTGCTAGCTGCCATTCGCAAGTTTTTTGTATCACTCTGACTGCTTTATCCCCAATCTCAAGTCCAGATTCGTTGTCATGAACGTTATTTAGTATTCGGCAAATGACATCATGTCTAAGAGTTTAAAAGCAGATATGAAACAAGCAGTATCTTCAAGTTAGTGCATGCCCAGAAGTATACAGAAAAAAACCAATTTATAAGTTACACAATACAAAAAGCCATCATTTCGCCATTTGTTTCCCAAAAGCCAATCATAACATAAAAACTATAAGGTAAAAAAAAGGAAAGTGAATTCGCAGTGTGATGATCATCTTTGTCCTCCAAACGAATGGCCATGTGTTGATGGACAATGTATTCATGAAAGAGCTGCATTTCAGCAACCCATACGCTATTCCACATGTCATAACCGTCGTGATCAATATGGCATGTGTGAAACTCACTCTATCTCCCTATCGTGGACTATGGAAAACGGACGGTACTCTGAGCAATGTGAATATTTACTGAGATGTGCTCTATCTCAAGGTGGAGAGAAACACTGCCCGTGTTTTTTCGATTCTGATTGTGCCTATGATCTCCTCCAACCCTGCTCCACATCATACATTCAGTATTCAAAATACGCACTGATAGCTTCATATGTGTTCTTCTTCTACAGGCCTGTTCGAGTTTCGGCACAAAAATCATTGGAAAGATTAATTTTGATCAATGGACAGGTGAAATGTCGAGATTCTTTGATTTCTGTCACCAACATCATCTACGACCGAAAGAGCTTGGATCTTCGTCAATTGACCCACGATATTTTTTGCGAAAAAATTATCAACGACTCTTTAACGACAAATTTCACTTCTTTTCAACGATGTCATCATCAGAACGAGTCAATTGACCTATGTGATGAATGGAATCCATGTATGTCTATCACTCGACTAGCCGACGGATTCATAAATTGTCTCAATGAAAAAGATGAAAATAACTATGCCAAGATGAAGATTGAGAAGACATGTTCACGTGTTCACCGCCATCGTTTCCGTTGTTCAGTCAAACAACAAACATGCTTGAGTGTCATGGCATTAGGGAATAAGAAGCTGGATTGCAATAATGGTTTCGATGAAAACTGGTTGGGCACAAACCGAAAATTATCTCAAATAAATTGCAATGGTCAGCGAAAATATGAATGTTTTTCCCTTCGGCAATACATCGAACAATCATGGAATTCAATGGACAAAGAACAGATACCATCAAACGTTGGCATACGTTTTCGCTCTTATTGTGATAGGTTTTGGGTTATTGATGAAGCAGAAGATGAGAATGTGACTCAATGTCAGCAGTGGTGGATTTGTGCCTCAGATCAATTACAATGTCAATCAGGACAATGTATCTATTCGCAGTGGCTAAATGATAATGAATGGGATTGGTCAGATGCTTCGGATGAGACGCTGATACTGAACGCCACCATCGCATGGGTGCAAGACCAAATTGAAGTGATTTATAACATTAATTACAACTTATACTTGTATTTCAGCGCTTGTAATCAAACATTTCCATTTCTCTGTCTCTCTCCACGAACCTCGCATCCAAGAGTCCATTGCATCAATCGAAATCGGCTCGGTGACCAGAAGATAGATTGCGCAGGAGCAATCGATGAACGCAACACTTAAACATTGTTCTGGATATTCCATGCTTGGATACAACTTCAAATGTCAATCTAGCAACACTTGCATCCCTTATTACCTGCATTGTCAAGAAGGTTTTCGATGTCCAAATCGAACGGATGATGCCTATTGGTGTTCTCGTCATACATCGTCGACCTGCTAGCGATTTAATTGGGTGTCATGTTTCTACAGAGCATGCGCCAGAGGCAGCCGGTGCGATGGACATA